CCCCCCCCCCGCCCCCGTCGTGTGTCTATTTTCAAGTTTCAACTGAAAAAAAATCGACGTAGCCAGTCTCTCTGTACGGGGAATACCATCCATCGTCATTATTACTGACGTCTGATTCCGGTACATGAGTGTTATCTCGAGGCGGGGCGCTAACAGCAGGCGTACCGTCGTCGTCATCTACTGCTTTGTTTGCCGATGAGGAAGGAAGTTCGATAAAAAATTCGGACGTCATTCGTCGGTGCGAGGTTCGTGCTGGACTGGTTTTCTGCTGACCGACAGTCCGCATGTCTTTGTGTGTGATGATTACAAGGTTGCCCGTCTCTGTGTGTGACAATATGTGTGGCAAGTTGGCACATTTAGTGTGCGACAATGACATTTGCATGGACATCTCCGTACTGTGTGGCAATGACACACGTCCTTCTGTGTGTGACAATGGACAAGCTTGCATGTCATTGTGTGCGTCAGCTTCAAGTTTTGTCCATCTTTGTGTGTGTGTGTCTGTGTGTGTGTGTGTGTGTGTGTGTGTGTGTGTGTGTGTGTGTGTGTGTGTATGTGAGAGAGTGTGTGAGAGAGAGAGAGAGAGAGAGAGAGAGAGAGAGAGAGAGAGAGAGAGAGAGAGAGACGTTCGGTTTGTGAGTCTGTTGGGAGTGTTGTTGCAGTGAGAGTTTGTTGAGCGTCGTGTCGTTGAGCTGCCGGTCAGTTTGGTGGTCGAGTTCGTCTGCAATTCTTCGGAAAGAGGAGGAGGAGGGGAGGAGGGGAGGAGGGGGGGAGGAGGAGGGGAGGAGGAGGAGAGGAGGAGGAAGATCAGGGGTGTGTATTTGTATTTATCAGCCCTCTCTCTGTAAGTGTCGTTTCTTGTTCTGTGAAGGGCGATCTTCCTTCTTTCTTTTTACCTTTTTTGACTCTATTCCTTCAATAATCTATAACACCAGTCTATATTGTTGAATATTCTTTTTGTTAATACTGTAACTAGATCCATCCTGTTTTCCAAATCGCTGCTGCGATCATATCATATGGTTTGATGGGATACTGTTAACAACAAAAAAAAAAACCGCCAGCCCATCTTTTCAGTCCCCCGGTTTTGTGCAATTGGTGTGGCAGCGATCATGATGGGTCGACGTGGCACTGGTTGTTGGTTGGCAAGTGGGTTAAGTAGGTTAGCTTTTGTAACCAAATAAGAAATAAAAGATAAAAAAAAAGAAGTACGGTAGTCTTGTATGTTTGTGGGTATGAGTTCGTTTCTGTACGTTGGCCATTGCTACCATCCACGTGTCGAATGAAGAGCCTCAGGGCTTGTGCAAGCGTGCTGTCCAACCAAGAATCAGAGCGATGGCTATTTTCCGTCCTCTTATTAGTTCATTTCTGTATTTTGCTGGTGACTGATGACTCTTGGTCGTCTCACCCCACCCCCCGCGCGCCCCCCGGGCATCTAATACTGGTTCATATAAAGTAAAAGAGAGAGTGGAAGGGAGGGAGGGAGGGATTATTCGCCTTGTGGTTGGTTGTGTTGAAATGAAATGATACATACATGTAACTGTTTTTTTTTTTTTTTTTTTTTTTTTTTTTTT